GTGAAAGTGTTAAGTAATATGAAACATTCTGAACAAAACTGCAGTTAGCGCAGAAGAAAATATTTTATTTTAAGCTTTTAAATTTTTCATTTTACTGTATATTGGGTTTTTTTACATTTAATGTTGGAGTTGAGAAAATGCAGTTTTATATAAAAAGAACACTTTTCACATTCATTTAGGAGGTTCTAAAGGTTATGGAAAATGAAATATGAAAGAAATGTTTTTACTCTTAGCATGAAAATCAACTACAACTTGGACTTGGTAAAGACTTCAGGAGTTAACAGACAAATTTAATTGAAGTATTTCATTTAAAATCTGTGTGTGTAAAACCGACTTTTTTATGATTACGAAAAGCTTACCAAATTTTGTAAATTCAGTTACATTATGTATAGTTTTCTAGTTCCAGGTTGGTCATATTCTTTCTTATTAACAATTTTCTAATATTACAATTGTTTCAGAAGAAGAAAAAACATGTTTGTGAAAATTAGTTTCAAGTTGGAAATCATTAACTTTTCAGTTTGTGAAACATGTATGTATGGAAGTTACTCTTTTATTTTAGGTAAAATATAGTATTGTGTATATATGTAAATTTTAAAACATATTCATTTTAAATAGTACCTGTGTGAAATTGAAAATAATATATAATAATTACTTTAAGTATCGTGTAACACTTCTGAATTCTGTACCCTGACAGTCAATAATTTTGAGGAAATTGTACAAGTCTTTTTTTGCCAGGTTATACAAAGTTTATTATAATAAAAATATTCATAAACCCATATTTGTGGCTTTACTAAACAATTTTTTATTCAGTAATTTAAAAACTGACCTTTTGTAGGTGGCGTATAACAAATGAAGAACCACCTTGTTACCCTAAGAACAGTGTTCCAATAACTCAAGCAGAGAAAGATCAGGTGAGAGTGGGGAACATTCAGATAAGTTAATGAATATTAGCTATAAATGCTTGACCTTTTTTTACTCTCGTATGTTTGAAAAAATTCATCTCGTTGTTTAAATATTTAACTTGTACAGTTTACTGTGGGAATTGCCTCCCAGTGGCTCAGCAATAAGACTTGTAATGCTAATTTAGATGCCCCTGGTGGACACAGCGCAGTCAATTGTGTAGCTTTGTGATTAACTGTAAACAAAGTTTCTATCTTTCTACATTAGCAGAGTTTGGGCCAATATTTTTAAAATGTAAGAGTAATACTGTCAATGGCTGCTAAATGAGTGACATTGACGTTGCTCAATCACTGTTTTGTTTTTTAAAAATACAAGTCAAAACAAGTGTTCCCTCTAAGCTGTGCAACAACCATTTAAGTGCCACGCATTTCATTATTCCAGCCATGCACATCCTCCATAATGGTGAGGAGTCTGAATATGTTGATGGCCGTAATGACCTTAGCAGTCGATGAGTCTAAAGCCCAAATAACTAACTGGTAGCATAGTAAAGCAGCCTAGTAGTCCAATAGGGCTGATGGTCTAAAAATACCCCCCCCCCCAAAAAAAAATAAAAAAAAACTGGTAGCACACATCCTCAGATTGCCTTGATACTGGTGCATGTGAAAAAATTCATCCTGTACATTGAAAAAATTAAAGGGAATATTGTTCATAACATAGCTGTTTGTGTATACTTGTTTATGTGGACGAATGAATAACAGGTTGGTTTTATCTGTTTTAAAAATTATACACAAGTGGTATTTGCTCACTTTCTGTTGACCGGACAAATAGCAGAACATCCAAAAAGGGGAAAATTGAACATTAGTTATTTCATGCAGTGCTGTTTTGATCACTATTAACTATGTGATAGGTGAAATTTAAGAGTTCTTGTATGCCACAAACATTTCCAGCTAAGTGCTGCAATTGGCACAGATCTAATAATAGACTGGTACTCTGTACTGTTTCAACCTTATGTGATTATTATATATTGGGTAAAATAGCTGTGATATAGTGATGTTTGGAAGCTATTTCTTTTGAATGCATTGATATTAACAGGTAATTTTGCAATTTGCTCTCAAGAAATATTTTTTATTCTTTATTCATGGAATTGTCCAGAGTAAAATATTAAAATTGGAAAAAACTCCTTTTGCTGAACTTCTTTTGAGTAGTGTTTGCATCATCATATCCAGTCCTTTTTTTGATAGGTTGCTAATTGCAAAATAACTGAAATGTTCTTATCATTAAGATAGTTGTTTACTTTACATTATTAGTTAAAAAACCAAACTATATTTTTTATAAGCACATGAAGAGAATAAAATGTTTGATAAGAGTTATGCAGAAGGTTTTTTCCTTTTTTGTGTGCAATACAATATAAAGAAACTTAATTTTACTACTGCTACAAGTTTGAAGAAATTTATACACTTTGTGGGTAACTTTTATAGGAAGAAGACATATCAGAAATGGCCTTTACATTATGTCATCAGCGGTGTGAAGAGGCTGAAAAGCGACGTTTTTTGAACTATATGCAAGTTTACACACAGGGACGTAGTCGTTCTCGGGGAACTCGTCTAGATTGTAGAGCAGAGAGCAGTGGAGCCAATACTCCTGACCCAATGTTTCCTAACCCTCCAGATTTTATGTGCCAGGATTCTAATTCTTTGTGTATTACCTCACCTGTGTCTTCACCACCACCACTGCTATTTTCAGATGATTCTCAGCTCTCTGGAGGACCAATAGCAGCACCTAAAGTAGAACGTAGGCGAACTATGTCAATGACAAAACAAGATGATGTACGTACAGGAGATTTGGAAGAACCCGAGATACAACCATATAAACCACGAGTTTTCCCATTAAGCGAGGAAGAGTTTTGTGAAATGTTAAATGAATCAAAACAACCTAAAGAACTAACTCAAGTACCTAGGCAGGTGAACTTACTATTAGAGGCGATTTCTGATAGTCCTACATCACCCTTGAGCTCATCTAGTAGCTCTTTACTGGAAGAAGACCCAAATGACCCAGAATGGACTGTTCTATCCTCAGAAAAAAATACTAAGCAATCATTAGTTTTGAAGTTTGCTAAAAGATGAGCTATTTCTTGAACTCATGTTGGATCAAGTTACTTTAGGCTAATGTGATAATGAAGTGACAAGTAACAAGTTAGTAATCAAAGATGGATTGTTGAAAATTGTGGAGCCATTTTTTTTGTTTTGCTTAAAGAAGATTTACATCCAGCTTTAATTTAGGCTTGAGTTTCTCGATAGACTTTGAGAAAACTATTTTACCACTGGTTATTGTGGTAACAAAAAAAAAAGACATAAATGTACAGTAACTTCACAGGGGGAACATATTAGTGTAGTGAAGGCTATTTCTGAAGAAGTGTACTTGTTTCTGTCTTGTGCAGTATAAGTCGTTTATAAAATAACAAAAAAATAATTGTAATGGCATAGGCACCCCTAGTGTTTTTTAATCATCTCTGCACTACAGTGTATTGGTAACCTCACAAAACATTTTTGTTGTAATAGTGATGTCTAAGCTATGAGAAATCTAGCCAAAAATGTAATATAAACAGTGTTCTTGCTTGCTCATGGTATCTAGACTTCCAGTTAAATTCGTGTTTATGAGGATGTAAATAGTTTGTCCAAGTTGAAACGTGTATCCCTGTTAATAGTATTGGAAGACCACTGTGTGTGTGTAATTTTATTGAAGGTTACCAATCTTCACGATACTGTCAATCACAGATCATCATCTTTGACCATGTTTGTGGTGTGGATTCACTCAACTTTTCAAGTTGTTTTGTAGATTACTTCAGACATTTTCAGGTTTACCATTCCATCAGATTGCTTTTTTTTTCTACACTGTACAATGTTGATCACATGGTCATTCAATAGATCTATCTTGTTGCATTTTTTTTTTCTTCACTAATGCATGTAGTTTTACTTTACTGGTGAGTTTGATTGAGAAGTTAGTTTTAGGGTTAGGCCTTTGGTGTAAATAGTATTGAATGGGTATGTCACAACTTGGCTAAAACTGTAGTTGAGACTGCCAAGTTCACTTGTTTTAAGCCTCTGTGATCTGAATTCTCACACCTGATGAAGAAGAAAAAGCAAAAATAGTAAAAAAATATTCATCCACAACATATGTACTGCATTTTTTTTTCTTATACATATACAAGTTACTAGATAAAGTTTGGTGTGTACTTAAAAGTTGCTTTCCAATACCAAGTCTATACATACCATGTGAACAAGAGGTATCTGAATTTGAAGAGAGTTTGTAACACTAAATGTAACTTTTTTTTTTTTTTTTAACTGCCCTAAACTGACTACAGAATTAATCACTCCATTATGGATATTTGTTTCAGGGATATCTAACAATAAGAAAATACATCTTTAGTCCGTCTTCTCAGTGAATTAATTTTGAGATCGAAAATTTTAAGACATTATTTCAGTGAATGAAAGATAATGATTCTTTGTTAAAAACATACCTTTACATGTTAAACTAATACAAATTTTCTTATTTTTGGCTGTTGTTAAGCTGCTTATGCTGAATAAAGTTTTTGGTAGTGTAAATGGTTTTTCATTACTTTTTTAAGAGAACAGCATTATTTTGGACACAGAATGTGATATCAAGGACCTCAATTTGTATTAACCTTCATCAGTGGTTGTAGTTAGGGCTTTTCCAAATGTGTGCAAAACATGAGAATTTGTTTCAAGTTTATAAAAGTAATTTTACTGAATTGAAAAATAAATAATCGATGTTAAAAAAAAAAAATATTGTTAATAATATTTACCATAAAAAAAATTGATTTGTAAACGACTTAAATGAAATTATTAATAGACTATATAAGTGAATTGTAATTATCTAGCACCATAACAGTAGTTGTTAATGGAAATTGATATAAATAATATCTAGACGTTTACTGTCATTTTCCAGCCAACCTGATGATCGTAATATTGGGTGAAATGCCTCATTGGCATTAAAGATGTAGTGTGGTTAACAATCTTTTTTACTTTCATTCATGAAGTTTTAGTATTTATATGTTTCATAAAGTAATATTAAAGCAGTAATAATAATGGTGGTGGTAGTAGTAGTAGTAGTATGACTAGGAAACTTCATAGCCTGTCACTCTTATACCATGAGCTGTATGTATTCCACAGTTGTTTTCTTTATAGATAGCTTTATGTAATTAGTCCCCACTATAAGAACACATGGTAATTATCAAGAAGATACAAGCATTTAAGAGTATTTCAATGTCATTCATACTTCAACCAATGGATACTGAAGAAAAAATATCATACAAAATTGATCATTTAACAGACGTATTATGAACTAAAAAGGCCCTACAAAAGTTTATTTTGTGTTGTGTATTAAAGATTTTAGAATCCATGGGCTACGCAAAATTTGTCATAATACCTTTTGTGTGTGTGTGTGCATGCGTGCTTGTTGTAATCGTAAGAAACCAAATAACCTGATGGGTGTAACTGAAGATTTGGTTGGGAAAAATAGCTTGTGGTGAAAATCAGGTAAAAACTGTACAAAACCCATTTTCATGTGACGTGTTTATACATCAAATAAACTACTTAACCCTGTTGTTGACCAGAGAGCATTTCCTAAAATAATCTTGAGTGTTTACAAGATGAAACTAATTAAGAGAACACTAAAGTGAGGCCTTTGTACTTCTGTGAGTTGCCAGAAGGAAGGCATTTAAAATGCTTTTAATATTTGGTGCCATTGCTAAAAGCGAGCGTGTCTTTTCTCAAGTACAGAAACCTAACTTGTCATGTAGTATGTCGATTTATATATTTTCAAAGCTGATAAGTCTTAACACTAATATAGCTGGAAAATGAACATATTCATAAAGAAAATAAGGAGTAAGATAGTTCATTTTCTCCCAATTGCAATTAATATGGTATTTTGTACTTGATCTATGTCGTGATCGTATCTTTAACTAAATTGTTAGGACCATGACGCATATCTACAAAGAAAGACGAAGTTGACTCGTTGGTCATTAAGATTATATGATATAATGAGGCGGCAAGTTTAAGCTGATGAGATCCAAAAATAAATATCCACCGAGATAGTTAATGAAAAGGGAGAATTACTGATAGGAGAGTAAGAATAAAAATCCGTACCCCATTTATTTCAATATTATTTTCTATTTTCAACTAGCTATTTGTCTATCTAAATTACAACATCTAGTCTACAGATCCAGCCCCAGTATACACTAAAAAGCCCTATTACCACCATAACAATTTTGCATTTACCTGAAATGAAAAGATTGCAAATTCTTATAGACAACAGACCATTTCTTTATCTTGTATAAGATTCAACCACCCATTTGCTCTTAGTAATCAACCTATACTTATTACCATGATCAGTGTCATGCTGGATTTGAACAACATTCAAGCAGAAGGGCAATAACGCATAAACGTATATTTTTTATGACTATACAAAATCCTCGATCAGCAATAATTTGGTTACTTTCTTCACACCACTCGGAAAGCCCGCCAACAGTTTATTAAAATATTTTTTTTTTTTTTTATATTATAAACAAAAAATTAAACTTAATTGAGCAAAAGCCAATCTGATCATGTATGCATCCTTACTTAATTTTAGGGCACGGCATGGCCAGGTGGTTAGGGCACTCGACTCGCAATCTGAGGGTCGCGGGTTCGAAATCCCCCTCCCACCAAACATGC